CCTGACTCTTGGTGATTACTGGAACGGGCACTGACCCTGTCCTGAATGACATCTGTTGTGCTAAGTATTCTGCATATACTCATTCACTGACAACTGCTTCGTTATTAGGTACCAGGATCATATCCATTTTACTAATGGAGAGGAATTACGTATACAGAAGTTAACTTTCCCAAGACCACCCCTTTATAAGTGGAAAATATGGACAGGCTGACTCCAGAGCAGTGTTCTGAACCATCACTCCCTCGGTATGATCGACAGAAAACAGCGGGTCCCCAAATCCAACCAAACCCAAACTTCCAGAGCCTGTGGGTATCACACTCCATAGCAAAGGGGCCTCTGCGGATGTCATGAAGTTAAAACCCTTGGGTGAGGGAATTATCCCAGATTCTTCAGAGGGTGATCACTTACAGGTGCGTCTGAGAAGCTGAGCCTTTCCTAACCGTAGCCACAGGGAGATGTCACAAGAGAAAATGTCGGAAAGTCTCGAAGACAGATGGAGACCGTGAGCCAAGAGATGTGGCTCTAGAAAAGGCAGCAGCAGGAAATGAACTCTCCTGAGGAAATTTTGTTTAAAAATGCAGCCATGCCAGCTCCGGTTTTAGCCCAGTAAGATCTGTGTGGGAATCCTAGCCAACAGAACTGTGAGGTGATAAATTCGTGATGTCTGGAGCCACTGTTGGTGATAGTTTGTTACAGCAGTGGTAGAACTGTTGCACTGCTGCCTGGTGGCAAAGAGAGCCAATGAGGCTGTTCCCCCTACTTCCACAGCATGACTTGCTTTATAACTTTAGACGCTCGGTTGTTTCTGTAGATCTGAATGTGTTGCATGATAGTGTTTCCCATATTTAGCACTCTACTAAATATTACAGGAAACTTAATGTGTCGAATCTTCCCAGTAGAGTTATATGGTTAATAAGATGCTACCATTTGGATCTTTGAAACATGCAAGACAGACTCTGGTTTGAAAAAAATTAAGAGATAGCCAGTCACCATAAGTAGAAAGTTAATTTTCTAATATTCAGAATACAAAGAGAATATTCCGATTGCCTGCCACATTGCGTCATCAGCGCTGAAGTGTTCTCTACAGTCTCAGAATGAAGTGAGTCGTTGAAAAGCTGACACATGACTGCAGTGAGCGGTGTCGAAGTTTTTGCATTTCTCGTCACTGTTCCTGACAATGGAGACCAGAAAATGGGCTGAGATTTAGTTGGTTTCTTTCCAGTGGCAGTGTTTCTAGACCTAAATACAGTGTGACATTCAGGCACTGGCCTTGGTAGAAATCTTCTGGGAAACCTTCCACCTCCACAGACACTGAATGCCATGGAACATTATGAAACAGAGTCCTCATTGCTGCCTGGTCCACTGCATGACAGTCCACTGGCTGGTAGGATATACAGAGAATGGGATGTACACTCATGGGCAGTAGCATTTTCTTAGTTGAAGCTTTTTGATTTAAAAGAAATAATAAAGCTTTAGTAAAAAAAAAAATCAATGCTTTGGAAGACACAGACCACCATAATAGTAAGCTTGAAAACAAGTCTCTAAAACAGCGGTTGAACCCCAGAGACATGCACTGGATGACATGAACGCTACCAGGGACACCACATTTATCCTGGGCTTCAGCGTGGCCTGGGCCCCTCCCAGCAGTGCAGATGCCCTGGCATAGTTCAGACCCTGTGCTCCGGATTCCTGCAAACCTTACTAAACTGTTCGTGCACCACGAGCTGAAGAGAGCTGAACAGAACTGACTAGGTAGCACAGGCTCTCACTGGTGGGATGAAGAAAGAGTGAAAACAACTTCACTCTCAGCAACCAGAGGTGCAGGGGCTAGCGTGGAGCAGTAATATCATGCTGATTGTACGGGGACCCCGGTAACAGAGGGGTGAGCAGGGGAACTGATTGTGGACACAGCCTTGTGGGTTGATGGAGCTGGACAGCTATATCCCCAGTCCGGGAGGCCCTGTGGGGGTCAAACCAGGGTCATGCCAGTGTCATTCAGTGGGAAGTGGATTAATCGTGGTGCCTTAGTGTAACTGTTCTTTGCCAAATAGCTCTCTTTATTCTTTCTTGGGGAATGGCCATTTTACAACTACATTCGTCAGAGATATTTAAACATCACTCTTAATGTTATCACCATTAACCTAAAATTTAGCAGAGTCATGATTTTCTTTGTGCCATAAACAATGCATAATCAGTGTTGAAAAATCAGAAAAAACATAGACATGGGGCAAGAAGAAGAAAAGGTTGGCGTCCAGGTTACCCAGGATAGCCATTGCTAATGTTTAAACAATATTCTTCCACACAAATATATATATAAACAGATTTCAACAAAAGCAGTACCATACCTCACAATGTTTATAAATTCTTTATTTGCTAACCATTCATGTATTTCTATATCAGCCATCTAGGACTTCATTTTTAATGACCAAATATCATTCTATTGTATGGATTTACCAAAATTTCTTCAGTCAATGTGCTTATTAGACTGTAGCTGGTTTGTATGTTTGTTATTACAAATAATATAATGATGAACGTATTTGTGCATGTAGATTGCGTTTTTCAGTTATTTCCTTAAGATAAGTTCTAGAAACCCAGTTACAAAGTTAAGTTACGAAATTTTCTGGAGATTTTGATGCTTTTCTGTCATTTCATCTTTAAGAAGGAAAATATTAAAATCAGAAAGAATGAGATCGTTCAAAAGCTTTAAATCGGTTTCAAAAAGATCTGAAATGATAAAACCTGGGTAGAGTAGTGTAATTTGAATTTGTTAAACCATTTACATGGACATACACAGTTAGGGTCTCTGTGAGAATCCTTAAGATTATAGAGGACCAAATGACATGATTTTTCTAAAGAAAAAGGCAAGGATAGTAAAGTAGTGTATTTTTATTAATAATTCTCAGGAATTAAAAAAATTGGTAAGAGGGGCCGCCGATTTAGCTCAGTGGTTCCACTGCCTGCCTCACAAGTGCAAGGACCTGAGTTCGATCGCCAGTACAAAAAAAAAAAAAAATGGTAAGAGCAGAATTGAGATATAATTCCCATACCATGAAGTTTACACTTTTAAAGTATATAATGAAGTACCTTCAAAAAGCAGTGCTGGGATAAGGGTACAGCTCCAGGACAGGGTACAGGTCAGTAGCAGAACACTTGCCTAGCCTGGGTGAGACCCTGGATTTGATACCCAGAATTACTGGAAGGAAAAAGAAAGGCTGAGAATGAAAATGGAGGGAGGAGATGGGGACACCCTACACACAGTGACAGTTACCCCCAGGCCTGGCAAACGCGAATCTTTTCCTTGGTCTTTGCCTGTTCTTGACTTTTCACACAAGTGCAGTTCTGCCACGTGAGACCTTCTGTGCTGGGCTTCCCTCACTAGTCCAGTGTTTTCAGGTTCATCTACGTCGTGGCATGGATCAGTACTTCAGTCCTTGCATGGCCAACTAATATTGCGCTGGATGAATGCACCCCACTTTATCTGTTCATTCATCAGCTCGTCCTGTGGCTGTCAAGTAAAATCTCCTCATGGTTGTGCCTCACCCCTTTCATCGCTCCTCATGCTGACAGCAGCCCATCTTGGTCTGACCTCGACTGACCTTTTGGCCGGATCTTCGGCTGTGCTCCCTGCCCTTCCCCACCCACCCTCCGTCGCCCTCCTTTGTCACATAACTGCGGTAGCTTCCCAGGGCGGCACTATCCTTGCATGCGCTGACGCCCCTCTCTGCGCCATCTTTCTCCTTAAATGCGCAGATGCCTCTGGCTCGTACCTTGGACTTCAGTTGTCCTCCTCCTCCTCCTGGAAGCCCTGGCACCGAGTGTAACCTGGGGACCACATTTCCTACCATCCGTTTGGCCTCTCATAACGCATGTTGTGCTGTTTTGTAATCGGTTGTTTTTGTCTTGTTTTGTTTTTTCCTTCACTTCTGTTCCATGAGATCGTGAGCTCACTGAAATCTGAAACTATTTTTCATTTATTTCTCCATCACTAGCAATCAAGGTCCAGTCTGTGGTAGACGTTCAACAAATGTCTCCTTTGTATACACAATAAAGAAAATCAACTGGACTTCTTATGAACTAAGTCAATTTAGAGATTTTTAACTATGTGAACATGAAATATATCTAAAATGAACGGTGAGCTGGGCACAGTGGCACGTGTCTAGAAATGCAGCATGTGGGGAGAACGCGGCCAGAGGCAACAAGTTCATGCGCAGCCTGGGAAATTTAGTAATTTAGCAAGGTCTTGTCAATAAAATAAAGTGCATAATGGATTTTTCTCATGTTTAATTTGTTCATGTGTATTTTATGGTAAAATTCACAATAACTCATTAAAATGAACCAGTATGTGTATATAATGTTAGGCTTTTACAGTAAACATCAACTTTTTAATTGTCAAACTGTTCACATTTTCAGTGTAGAACAACTTCAGATGAATTCAGAATGTATAAAAAAGATGGCCTGCAATCATATTTCAAATGATTTTTAAAAAGAAATAGTTTAAACTGGACGTGGTGGCACAAGCCTGTAATCTCAGCATTCTGTCAGGCTGAGGCAGGAGGGTTGCACGTTTGAGCCCAGCTTGGGCAACTTAGCGACTTAGCAAGAACTTACCTCAAAATTTTAAAAAGGACTGGGGATGTAGCTCAGAGCAAAAGCTATGGGATTAATCCCCAGTTCTGTTAAAAAAAAAAAGAAAAAGAAAGAAAGAAATGAAAAAGCAGGAAAGGGAAGGAAGAAAGGAATTTTTATGAATGCCATGAAATCGATTAATAAATCAAAGTTTCACTTTTAAAGATGAGCTTTTTGTGCAAGCATATGTGTTGGTTTCCTTAAACTTGGCTTGAAGAGAGGTGTCTTACTTAAAATACTATAATAATTTTAAAGCTGATGCATTTAAGCTTTTTAAAATCAATTTTCACTGTGTTCTGTGTGAATTGAAATGTGTTGAAGTCGCCCTCGTTGTTGGTAATGGGATCCTAACCTCTGTTACTTCTGACTTATAGGGTATCTTTGTTACTAGGGTTCAGCCTGATGGGCCTGCATCCAACCTACTACAGCCTGGTGATAAGATTCTTCAGGTAAGACAGATAAAAGTCATGCATGCAAACTCAGACTCTGAGAGGAATCGGTCTCCATGTTATGAAGCTAACTGGTTCGAGTTAAATGATTGGAAGTCATTCCCTGTCACATTGCTTATTTGCCTTTCTTGTTTTGGACTTGAGAGACAAGTCAGAAACAATTCTGTCTAACAGAATCCAGCGTCCCTAGCACCTGACACCCAACAATAGCTGGCAGCTGAGTGTTCTGTACATTTTTGTTGAGTTGAATGGACTACTTGGTCATTCATTGTCTTACTCACTTCCCTGTCACTGAGATGCAGCGTCATACCTGTCACTCACCACTTAAAGGAGGGGAGGCTTATTTTGGCTCACAGGTATAGTCCGTGGTTGGCTGACTCTGGGGCAGGCAGCCGTGTGGAAGGGCGTGGGGCAGGAGAGCTGCTCACATCATGGTGGATGGGAAGCAGAGAGGGAAAGGGGGAGCCAGGGAATGAGATAAACCCTTCCAGGCCGCGCCCCCAGTGACCCCCTCTTCCTGCTGGATCCCACCTCCAAACAGCAAGTCGGCTGTATCTCGCCCCATGGCTCAGTCACCTTCCAGAGCCCGTTGTCTGTGAGCATGTGAGGGGACCGTCTCAATCCAAACCGTAAAGCAATATAAAAAGAATGTATAGAAACACGCATGAACTTATGCATAGCTATTAAAGAGTAATTAAGTGCCTAGATGGGGTATCTGTGTGACATTAGATGAAGGAGAAGGACAGGTCCAACTTTCATTTGTCAAGTATACATTATTTAAGCCTCTACATATCAGAAGGGGCCACTCCAGGAAACAGTTAACTGCCTGGCTAACCCTGTCCATTTTGCTTTCTGTTTCCTTCTCTCTGAATTAACTTCCCATGTCAGGAGCACCTGATCATTTCCTACAGTTAAGGGAAGGATTTTTTAAACATTGTCAGTGTATTCAAGATCCACTACTTTGACCTCAGAAATTTCCCACTATATAAATAGATGTAAATTGCTGTTATTTTGGCTACTTGTAGTAATTATGAAACACAATATACTAGAGAGGTGGAATTTAGATACCTGAGAATGGAGGACATTCAGGGAAAAGTCTTCATCAGGTCAGTTATTAAAAACAAGAAGAATACACATAACCTCCCAAATCAGCTCTGAGATCCTCTGCCAACCAGTTACTGGACTTCCTCGGAAAGTTCTAGAAAAGTAGAGATCCTTAAGAGCCCAATAGATAGATAAATAGATAGATAGATAGATAGATAGATAGATAGATAGATAGATAGATAGCAAGATTGCTTTAACTTTTTTTCTGGGAAACATTTTGAACTAACTAGCAAAATCATGACAAGCTACTCACCTTTTCAAAGTTGATAGTGCTCAGAAAAGACGACAGGCTCTCCAAGCTGCAGCAATGTCCCCATGAAATACCACCGGCCTGAATCCTCAAAGGCAGAACACAAAGGCGGCAAGGTGGTCTTTTGAGCTTGTAACAAAAAAGTCATGCAAAATACTCCCACATTTTTACTGTAGAAGTTGTTTGGTTTTTGACCACCTACCGCATTGTGTGATCTTGAACATTTTACATCACATCTATGGGCCTCAGATTTTTTATGTGTAAAATGAACTGTAGTTTATAATCTGAATTCCTTCGCAACTCAAGATTTCATCTGTTTGATAATTGCATGCATTGTAAAGGAAGTCAAGAGTATACCAACAATAAAACCCCCCTAACATTCGGAAATGCTACCTATTAGCACAGGAAATAGCTAGAGTTTCTTTCTCTTCCTCCCCTGCCCCAAACTGAACTTCAAATGGGTGTGGGTGTGGGGGGTGTAGCCAGTTAACTTCAGACCTCTGCCCTAGCTGAATGCCAGGCTGGGTGCAGATGCAGAAAACTGTATCTCCAGGCCAGGATGGAGCAAAAGAAAGATTTTTCCTCATCCATGACTGAAGTAGTGAAAGAAAGATTTTTCTGTTCTGCTTAGATTCAGAAAAGAAATATATACAGATGTGTCACAGCAAAATGTTATGTCCTGCAGGTGGAAAAATAGGAAGTAAATATCTATTTGCAGGGTATTCTCATAGTCTTTCCTGACTCTGAAACAACTCTACAAGGGTTGTGTATGTGGACAAGAAATTTGGTATTTCCAACCTCAGAGGTTTGTGGCAGTAGGAAAATGTACAGAGGAATAGACTCTTGATGTGAGAAACAGGAAGGAATTATAAGCTCAATTAGTTAAAGGCCAAGGATAACTCAAAAGAGCTGCACCTGGATCTCTCTGCTCCCCACAAAAGACAACAGAGGAGATGACATTGTATTTTTGCTATAGAACTCATTTACATCTAGTGCAATAAAATCAAAGTCTATCTTCAGTTTTTAAAAAATACATACAACTTAAATAAGTTGCTGTATTCACAATTTCACTCAAACTAGTTGAAAAGCAGAAGTGGCCCCTTCTGTGGTCTGGAAGAAGTAAGAATGGATCATTCATTCTGAATGGAAACCATTGCCTGTGTCACAACTCAGAGAGCGAGCTGTGTTTTTGACTCTTTATAATACTGTACACTCTTGGTTTAAAGAATGCTGAAGAAAACAGGTTAGCAACATCGAGTTGTGTAACACCACCAGTATCCATATTACGTATTCTCACTTGAGCACGCGTCTTTACAAAGCTTCATGGCGGTGAACACCTAGAAAGACAGGAGGAAGGGAAGAAAAGCAACAATAAATGCTCCTCAGTGCTGCCCGTTACCAGGTTTGATGTAACCCAGCAGCAAAGAGACATAAGATCGCAGAAGAGATCCTTTTCCCAATTTTCCCCCAACCCAAAGCATATTAAAGGCAGGCTTTTTTTCTATGACCGTTTTCACCACTCTTACTCCGCTGTGGTATTATTGCCGTGCTATTTGAATCAGATAGAGATGTGAGTGTGAAGAGACGGAGGTGATTCAGCACTCCTGTCATCTACTCCCCCAGAACAGACACTGGAATTCATGAGCGTAGTCAAGTAACTTGGGTGAGTTTTTGCCTGAAGACTCTGGGGCATGTGTAAAGAGTGTGTAGGAGGACTGGCCCTTCCAGCCTCCCCTTCTGTATTGAGTTATAGAAGAAGAAGAGAAGAAACACATAGATCTCTAAAAAAAAAATCTTCCTGGTTAGAACTATGTCAATTTGCCAATAGGAACCCACTATCCAAACGGCAATTCTGTTATCTTAACATTATGGTTTCCTCTTTCTTCTGTTATTTCCAGCTTTAAAATGAAACTGAATTCATTATACTCTATATGATTCAATTGTAATATAAAAATGTATTAGTTATAGTTATTCTGTTGAAAAGATGGCCAGATTGAAAAAAAAAAAAAGAATAAATTGTCCTTGATGGCTAACAGTATGGTTTGCGGTCATACCCTAAGCTCACTTGTAAGCATATAGTCTTCTGTTCTATCAGGGTAGTTGGCCCTGTTCCTAGGATTTACCTAACCTTTTCCCAAGCCCAAACTGAACGTTGGCAGGAAAAGAAAACTTAACTGATTTATAGAGAATTGGTTAATGATATCCATATTTTACCAGTTACCTAAATAGATTTTTCCAACACAAAACATGTAAGGATGGTACCCAATGGAAGACTATGATTTTATAGTCTCTTCCACATAAACATCATTGTAAGGGCTTTGGAATTACTAATCCAAAAATATATTCCCAGCCTGTGACTGCATTTCCAGGATATCTAAGAGTTAACGTGGTAATAATTCAAACAAACCAAGTATCTATTTTTCCATAGTGTTAAAAAACTTGGCCCTGTAATTCACACAAGCAGTTTAAAAAACTGCTGTCACTCAGGCATGGTAGGGCACACCTGTTATCCCAGCCCTTGGGAGGCTGAGGCAGGAGAATCACTGTGAGTTCGAGGCCAGCCTGAGCTGCATAGTGAACATAGCGAGAGCCTGTCTCAAAAAAAGAAATAAAGAAACCATGGTCGGCAAATAAATCTCTCAAAGAGTAGTACTATTAACAGAGTTATAATTATTATGCTTCTTTTTTTTTTGCAATTTGTTGTGTGCTTAGTTCCTTGGTTTTTTGGTTGGTTGGTTGGTTGATTGGTTGGTTTGTTGGTTCATTTTTTTTATTAGCTGTCGGTAAATTTGGGGGCTCATAGAACCCTGTCTTGGCCAAAATCATGAAGTTTGATTCCCATCAGGCCTGTTACATCACTGCTCTGCTCCGTAGCACTAGCTCCTGATTAGTGTCTTCTGAGAGGGTGTGAGCAGCACCGTCACAAAACCAGAGAAAATCTTGTGTACCCAAAGGAGCTCGTGGTGGGGGAGACAAGATGAATGGACACAGATCTTTGGAAAACAGGGTATTTGATTTTGTGATGTGATGAATAGTTGTGTAGCAAAACCTTTTAAATGAAGTATTTAATACAAGAAGGTATTTCTTGGGGTGCAGAGATACTGTCTCCTCACAATAAAAAGAACAAACACAGGATGGCAGCCCCTCCTCCACTGGCCTCGCTGGTGGGAGAGGGGGTGCTGGGCTGGAGAGCCCAGCTGTCTCTGGGGTGCAGGGGAGAGAACGGGTGGATCCCAGAGGACAGGGTCTGTCAGAAGACTCCCTTCCCGGAAGTCTGAAGGAAAGCCTGTGGGTGGCAGGTCTGTGCCACCCCTCACGGAGGCGGGCCCTCCTCCTCTGGACGGGATCCTCGGTGAGCCCTAGTGTGATGAGGCGCTCACGATGAGGGTTTGGTAGCCTCAGCTCTCGGGGACAAAAGCATAAGCTAGAAAAGTCGTCTGCATCTATGAACCCGTGGTGAATGGAGCAAAGTCCTTGCATTACATCTCCTGCCTTTTCCCTGTAAGAGAAGACTGGGTTCAGAGTCTTTGCCTCATTTTGCAGACACCAAGGGGAAGCCTCCGGGCCCAAGCACATTGCTAGAAGCAGAAAAGGCAAGGCTGACAGCTTCGTGGTGCAGAAGGAGAGTGAAAAGTTTCTTATAAAA